GAAGCAGGGGTCATGGGGCAGGGGCAGAGGGAAGCAGCAGGAAGTGACAAGGACCAGATGGTAAGTGGCTCGAGGGTGGGGCTTAAAAGGTAGGTCCATTCCCAGGCCTTGGGAACCCTGGAAGTTTTTCAGATAAGGGTGACAGGGGCAAAGGAGTGCGACAACTGTGGAAACAGATGCAGGACAGCCTGGGACAGGCAGGAGCAAATCCTCGTGCAATTCACCGCATCTGCCCTTGCAGAGCGCCTCTCGCGTGGAAGGCAGTGGTCTAGCCGTGCGGGAGAGCAGACAGCAAGCAGAAGGTGCCTGCCCTCAAGGAGGGCATGTTCAGGTAGGAAAGAAGAGTGGCGCTGACACTAAATATGCTCTGCATCGGGTGGCAGGACGTGCTCTGGAGAACACCTAGCCAAGGCCAAGGGCTGCGGGTGTGCAGGGAGGCAGCTGTGCTATGCAGGGAAGAGGGCGAGGAGGCCACGTGGACATGGGCAGGGACAACTCCAGCAAAGGGCTCTTCAGACGTGGGAAGGGACATCAAAACAAAAATTTAGAGAAAGGATGAGAAGAGGCAGTGGGCATTCTAGGTGAAAGAGTTGCTCAGGCAGAGGACGAGTGTGGGGTACGTACATACACAGGCACGGTTGCTGGAGTGCAGGAGAGTATGGGAAACACGTCCACACACACTGGTGGAGTCACCGTACTCACTGGCCTGCAGAGCTCCAAAGAGTTTTGAGCCAGGCAGGGAGGTATGCCTCTGGAGAATTCATCCAGTAGCAGCATCTGAACTGCATCTGCCAGGGATCTGAGGTTGAGGGGGCTGTGATAGGTGAGGGGGATGGGGCCTGGACCATGTGGTGGCAAGAGAAATGGTGTGTGGCAGAGACCACATGAGACCAGATGGGAGACCAAAGTGGACAGGATAGGGGACAGAAGAGGGAAGGGAAAGTGCGGGAGGCAACCTCGGGGGCTTGGGGAGGCCAGGTGTGGAAGAGAAGAGAGGGAACCGTGACCATGAGGGCTTTGGGGCTGGGCGATGGGGGATGAAGCCCCAGAATGAAGGCAACAGCTGGGGGAGTTCTTTGGGATGAAAGGGGTGGGCTTGGTCCCATTATGTGTGAGCTGAAACACTGACGTGAAATGACTGGCAGGCAGTTGGCCACAGAGTAAAGAAACTCAGAGGGAATCCTTGGGGACCCTACTCACCAGAAATGTTCGTGGAAGCTCTGAGAACAGACGACTCTCCAGGAAAAGAGTGTCAGGTAGAAAGGACAGAGGTGTGCAGACTGAGCTCTGGATTAATTGCAAAGAACTATGGTTCAGACATGTTGGCTGATGTCATTTTAAAGTGCCCCTACTAACCACTAAAGTAGCTTCTCTGCTCATTACAGGGGCATTTCAGAATGCATTACCCTGCTTGGCATATATCCTTCCAGACTTTTCTAGGAATATATAACATCCTTTCTTTTTACTTTTTAACCAAGACATGATCCAACTGTATTGCAACCTGCTCTTTTGACTTAATAGATGGAAAGCGTCTCTCCTTGATAATAGACACAAATGTCTTTAACACCATTTTTAAGGGCGTTATCACATTTTATTTAACACATATCTATGTATCTATTGTCAGAAAATTGATTCGTTTCCAATTTTTCAATATTACAAACAGTTCATTCACCACCAATTTCATGGTTCAATCTTTTTTCTTTTCTTTTCTTTTTTTTAAAGATGACCGGTAAGGG